GGAGGGGCTGCGGCTGACCCCATCCCCTCTTGCTTGAAGCCCCTGAACCCTTGCGAAACCAAGGGCCGGTGCACTCAAGCTCTCCTGCGGGTCTCCTTCACGAACCCCTGGCTCCTGCCAATTCACCTCCATGCAGACTGGCCGGTACTGCAAGACTGACCTCTGCCAGGCAGCAACACTGCTAGCACCCTGCATTTGATTTTAAGCTCAGCTTGAGAGAGAGGCCCTAACCTCTGTGAAATCTGGAGCACAAAACAAGAGGAGGTAATCCAGATGGCTGCAAGCCAAGCGGTCTTTTTGGGACTGATGTCCCCACTGCTACTCAGGACAGCTCTGCTCCTGGTGTTGCCCACTCCCCCCAGCACCCATGCCATTAGCAGGGGCAAAGGATGTCCCCTGTGGAAATACACAGGTCTGGGAGACGTTTCCTCATCCTGATGGATGTATTGCAAAGCACCATGTCCCCACACGATGCTCTCATCCACCAGCTGAACTGTCACATTCATGTTACACTGTGCTAGACAAAGAAGTCAATTTAGTGTAACACAATTTATAAATAGTTTCAGATTCTGCAAAGTGAAAGTGTTAAATGTAGAGATGTCACAGCCCCAAGAGAGAAAAGAAGGGACAATGAAGTGGAACATGCCAGTACTGAAATTTATTTCAAAGGCCTGTATATCCGATCAGTTGCTCGGGAGCCAAATTTCCTAGCCCTTTATGAGCTGCCTTAGTGAGGGCAGGGGAGTGCTGCAGATAGATCTGCATGATTTCTGAATAGATCCTCATACGACTGATGAGTCACAGATTCTCACAGGATCACAGATTTTATGATTTCATGTGACACATGCTTCTTCAGGATGTCTGCTCTTGCCCTTCATCCCTGATGCACACTCCTAGCTTGGAAGAAGTGACAACCCACCCATTTGAAATCAGCCTGGTTAAAAAGAAACTACTGCGCTTGCATGATTTTCATAGCATCAGAAAAAAAGACAAAAAAAAGACTGGATAATGACAAGTGACTGGTTTGTTTCACATGCTTAACTGTGCACTTCAAACACTGATACCTACTCTTTGTAAGCCTTTCACAGGGATACTTACTTTACAGGGGATTACTTTACCCCTGTGCAATGGAAGGCTTCCCTGTCTTCCCCTCAAAATCTGATTAATGTTATTTCCAAGGTATCAGGGGTTGAGAATAGCAGCTAGGCAATTTCTAGCTCTCATGTGATGGCACCACCATTCTTCAGTTATCACAGTACTGTACCTTTCACGTATACAGCACCGGTACCATGATAACCGAAAAAGGACAGTTCACAGTCTTATTAAATTTGATGCCATTGTCAGATAAACCACCCTCCCTTCATTTGATTAAAGGAAAACTGCTCAGTCTCTAGGAATAACTGTGATCTAGTCAATCACTTGTCAGTCTGATAGAGTAAATGGAATTTTTTATACCAGATGCCCTTCCCTTATGTGTGTGTTGCAACTAGCAATGCAAGAAATCTAGTCTTTTTCTATCCTCTGAACCACTACCAGCCGCAGACAGAGCTTTAATAAAAATTGAGACTGAAGACCTAGATAGAAGTCCACTACCTGATAGGGCTAAAGTTTTGGGGTTGCACACAGCTCCATGAATTGAACTCTTCAGCTGTTTCCTATGGACAATCACAGCTTTAGCATTTGGCTAGCCATTTGAAACATGTCATTTAATGCCACAGCTACAGAGAGATCACTAGGAAAACATGGTAGCGTACGCTACGCAACAAAAGCAAACTGATACACACATACAATCCAAGACTAAGAATCAACAATAAACCCCATCTCTGCAATTCTCAGAACCAGGAATAATACAGAAGAGTAAGGGAATTATCTTCTAACATGTAGAAATAAACACTAGGTAACTTACACCACCTGTCTCATTTGAAGACGGGTACAAGTTGTTCTATTCAGAACCACAGGCAAGTCTTCCATATACAAACAATAGCTGCACAACAAAACTAGTGAATTAAACAAGACTGGGTAATTAAACTGAGCAAAACAACTTACGTATATGGAGACAGAGGTCCTAACAGGACTTTGGAAACATCCCGTTGTCCAAGGGTCATGAGGAGCAGAGCAAGGCTCTGATTTGTTGAATCTACACAGCCTCCCTGCAAACCAAATGTTTTAATAATTAATCACTGTACAAACCAGGAATTGGGATGGGAGGAGAGTAGGGAAGGAAAAAAGACTTAAAAGGCTGATTTATTGCTCCCAATTTTCAAGGGCCAAAAAGACAATAATCTAGATTTTTTGACAAATTAATTTCACATGGCAGGCTGGGAAAGGAACAGAACTAAACCAAAACCCAATAATAAGGTCACATTAAAGATCCCTCCCATCTCCCCCAATCTGTTCTCTTCTAACATCACAGAACAGAAGCACTGAAGGATTTCTTTGCAGTAAATTGAAAACAGGTATTAATTATAGTTCATATGCATCTGAAGACACCATGAATTACAGCACTTTATGATAACTATGAAGTTAGATTTGGACAAATATTCAGAATAGTGTTAGCAGGTGCAAAACAGCATTAAAAGTTGTTTCACACACATCCACCTAAGCCCTTGCTGCTCACTTTTGCAGTTCTACATTTGTAAAACATTTTTTCCCTCCTATTTAAAACAAGATTTTTTTTATTGCTAGGTGAAAGAGCCATGCATAAAATGATGTAGAACTATACATACTCTTGTACATATTTAACTGTAGTAAGTCATACAGGCATGGTAAATTCTTTTGTATATGGAAGGTGTTAACTATGATGCATACATAAGTTAGAATTGGAAGGCTTGCTTTTTTTACAAAGCTTGATCATGTAATAAAAGGGATACTTTTCAATCAAGACTGCTGTAGAGAGAATTTACCAACTATTACTATGCAAATACATTGAAAATAGAAAAAATATCTGGCATAACATTATTTCAGGCTGTCCTCATATTCATCCTGATCCACAGCCACATGAAATCTGTGAACAGTTTTCCTGCTGGATCAGGCCTAATGCTAAGCCATCTGAACCGGCTCTCTGGAGAGTGCAAAACTAAAAATTCACCCTTTTAAAACCAAATTCTCTAATGAGGTCAACTGACAGTTACCTTTGTGGGCAAGGAGCAACCTATCATCATTTTAAGAGATAATACCATTCAAAAAGGCAAAGGAAGGGTAAAATAAATTTTGGACTACATAGATTAAGAGAACACAATGATGTGACAACTCAGCACATTTACTCAGTGAGAGGGCGGAAAGGAGGACCTTTCCAAGGAGAGCTACTGAAGGTTTAATTTTTGAGATGACTTGCTTCAGTTCGACAAATCTCAGCTCTGTTATTCTGAAAAAAGCCTCTGTACTTCATGCAACAAATGATACACCACAACGAAGGAAACTTCTTCATTACATTCACTGCCATGACCTAAGTCCTAGCTACATGCTCTTATGGAGCCCTTGCCCTTTTAACTGCATGAGCCTGCTGTACCAAAGTGAAGTTCATGCACTCAACCTAATGCCCTCTATAGGACTGACAAAAATTGTGCTTTATCTTGAGTGAACAGTGTACCTGCAGATTTTGCTGCTGCAATGTAGAGGCACAGCTCTCACCAGCTGTATTTGCCAATCTGAAACATGCGCAAGAAGCAGATGAGAGTTTGGTAAGGAGTATTCCTGACACAAGACTTTCTGTATTTGCAGTTTGGTTAATAATTCAAAATGCTCTTTATCACTTGGATGAAAACTTTACATTTTCTGAGCTTGTTTTTGATTTCTAAAGCTGAAAACATTATAAAACATCTATTTTTATGACTAAATTTATACAAAAGCTTCAATCAGCATGGAGATGACCACATCCTAAACAATACAGCAAAACACAATGCATCCATCACGTCCTAGCTGCTTACATAAGCTCTCTTGCTGCAGTGAGTCTGCCATCCCCACTATTGTTGTGTATTAGTAATGCACTGTTATGCCCATTCCCACAGAGGCGGTTGCCAGGCATGGAAATTAAGTGATTTGCTTGTAATCCAATGATGACAGAACAGTAAGTGAAGGACATGCTGCTCCCAAGGAGGCCAACTTTCTTCTCTCAATTCACCTGCCACTTACTCAAGTCCAAAATAAAAGAACTCTCCCAAGAGAAATGGGATGGGCAAAGTCAGAGCCAAAGTACTGACATTTGATCCAAAATAGCTGACACTAGCCATCAAGCTAGGATGCAGCTTCTAGTCCGTATTAATTCAGTTTATGCAAGTTTTTCCATTACTGTTTCCACTGACAACAGAGCCAGATCTACCTGGATGTGACAAAGATCACTTAAAATCCTGTCCATTTTGAAATGTTGTATACAAATACCATAGTTACAAGCACATACAAATATCACAACTTTGGGTATTGGATAACAGTGTTTCAAAGAGAATTATTCTTCTGAGCTTGACCCCAGCTTTGATTTACTCTCTGTTATATTTTGGCATACACACAATTTCTTCCCTTACCTGTGCAGTACGTAGTTGCATGCCTCAATAATTTATGTGAAGTGCAGAGGCTGTTTTTTTGTTTGTTTGTTTTTCTGTTTGTTTGTTGTTTTTTTTTTCCTCCAGAAGCATGGAGCAGAGCCTTGTCACACCGAAGTAAGGCCATCTTGAAAGTTAAGCCTTCAGTGAAATGCTTCACTCATTTTAGCTCTAGTTAAATAAAACAAATAGCCTTACCCCTCCTGCCCCTCCGAGCCACCTAACAACCACTCGACCTTTCTCCATTAAAAGAACTCAGCCTTAAATAGGTATTGCACCCTCCCTACTTTTTAATGATCACAATCTTTTTTCAGTTCCTCCAGGCCTTTCCATTCTGCCAATCACTTGCTATATAAAGCTCCCATAACCAACATCTTTCAAAGACAACAGGAAAATCCTTATTGGCCTTCCACAATTAAGCTTAGGTGAGAACTGCATATGGATCTGTAAAGACAATGCTAGCCAGTCACTCCATGCCCCCTCTTTCAGGGCCACTGTAATTAGCACTGTGCCATTTATCACTAGTCAATTAGCTCTGACATCTTTCCATCAACAAACGTACATTAAAAAAGCTCCACTGATTCCAAGAATCATACAACCTTTTACTAAGCCTTCAAAAAGAAATGAGAAAGGGACCATTTAGCACTTAACATAGCAAGAGTCAAATCCTTAGACTTCCTACATGGTAAAGTTCACATAGTGGCAAGCGTTAAGCACGCACGAGATGTCCCTGGGCCCCCTGAAACAGCAATGAACTCCAGCAGATTTGTGGATGACCCTGACAGCTAAAGTGCTTCTATAGAGATTTATGTCCAATGCTCCCAGGATGCTCTTTTCTGGTCAACCCTCCCTGGCTGCTGCAGCACAGTACCTACAGGCAAAGACATAGATGTAGAAACTATCTCATAAAGTGAGGATCTAAACACGGTGAGAGAAATTATCCCTTAAGCCCTGTATTTAGTGAGTAGCCGGTGCAAAGAGAGTGGGACTTAAAAGAGTGCCTGCTTGGAGTAACGTATTCTTGCCCCATGCACAGTTTTCTCAAATTTTCACTGTTTCACTAGACATCTTATCTAGGCAGAGAAACCTAAAAAAAAAAAAGTATCTTCAAACTAAACAAACATTGCATGCTTTGCAACATGTTTTTTTATCTCCTCTCTGTGGTCAATACTAGATCAAACCGACCTATGGGGAAAGAGAGAGAGAACATCTTTCCACATTCCTGGCTAGCATGTGTGAGCATGTGTGTCATACATGAATTCAAGTGTGCACTCTGAAAACTACAGAACAAAACCCACCATATTGCTTATGACAGAGGGAGCAGGGAATTAATGAACAGTGAATAAGGACTGAGCACTCTAGTGGATAAGCAGCACAATAACCAAAAATGCTAGCAAACAAGAACTTTTCCACTGTGAACTGCTGCACTGGAGGACAAGAAGAAGTCTGTACACCACTTCACACTTGCTAGTCACTCTTGGATTGAAGCGGCCCACACATAAAAGAGCCTTCCAGGAGTGCTAGCAGTACCACAGCAGGCCACAGCTAACAACCTCACTCACTCAGAATCTGATCTTCAAAGACACTGAAACCTCATGACCTACCATCTTAGCATTCAATGATTTGCCTGACCCCGTTTCCTTCTCAAATGCTTTTTTTCTGTTGTCCCAAGAACACAGAATCATAGAGTGGTTTATGTTGGAAAGGACCTTTTAAGATCATTGAGTCCAACTGTAAACTTGGCACTGCCAAGTCCACCGCTAAACCAGGTCCCTGAGCACCACATCGACACGTCTTTTAAATGCCTCCCGGGATGGTGACTCAACCACTTCCCTGGGCAGCCTGTTCCAACGCTTGACAACCCTTTCCATGAAGAAATTCTTCCCAATATCCAATCTAAACCTCCTCTGGTGCAACTCGAGGCCATTTCCTCTTGTCCTGTGGTTTGTTACTTGGGAGAAGAGACCAATCCCCACCTCACTATGACCTCTTTTCAGGTAGCGGTGGAGAAAGATAAGGTCTCCCCTCAGCCTCTCTTCTCGAGGCTAAACAACCGCAGCTGCCTCAGCTGCTCCCCATCAGACTTGTGCTCCAGACCCTTCACCACCTTTGTTGCCCTTCTCTGGACATTTAACTTTTTCAATGGATGGGGCCATAGTATGAAAAGAATCAAGGTTTGCAGTTTAGCAGCTGGATTATGGGTAATATGTCTTAAGAGTACAAGAAGAAGGGAGTTTAAAACTGCTCCCATTTTGTTCAAAAGCTCAAGTTATGACCACATCACAGAATCACAGAATCAATTAGGTTGCAAGAGACCTCTGGGATCATCGAGTCCAACCTTTGCCCTAACACCACCATGTCAACTAGACCATGGCACTATGTCTGTAGTGTTGCATGGGGTTGTTCTGACCCAAGTGCAGGACCTGGCACTTGGCCTTGTTGAATCACATGCAGTTGGTTTTTGCCCATTAATCCAGCCTGTCCAGATCCCTCTGTAGAGCCTTGCTACCCTCAAGCAGATCAACACTCCCACCCAGCTTGGCGTTGTCTCCAAGCTTGCTGAGGGTGCACTTGATCCCCTCATCCAGATCATTGATAAAGATACTAAAGAGAACTGACCCCAATACAGAGCCCTGGGGAACACCACTGGTGAGCAGCCACCAACTGGATTTAACTCCATTCACCACCACTCTTTGGGTCCCGCCATTCAGCCAGTTTTTCACCCAGCAAAGAATATGCCCGTCCAAGCCATGAGCAGTTAGTTTCTCTAGGAGAATGCTGTGGGAAATCATGTCAAAGGCTTTACTAAAGTCTAGGTAGACAACATTCACAGCCTTTCCCTCATCCACTAAACAGGTCACTGTGTCATCAAAGGACATCAGGTTAGTCAAGCAGGATCTGCCTTCCATAAACCCATGCTGACCGGGCCTGATCACCTGGTTGTCCTGTACGTGTCCTGTGACGGCACTCAGGGTGATCTGCTCCATCACCTTCCCCAGCACTGAGGTCAGGCTGACAGGCCTGTAGTTCCCCCAATCCTCCTTCCAGCCGTTCCTGTAGATGGTTGTCACCAGCATGCTCACTATCCTGGTGCTTTGCAGAATTTGAGTCATCATATTCAAATGGCTGCAGCACACTGAAGCAGAAAATTACCTGGTTCAGGCCTTTCCGGCCCTCTTCATTTCAGAAGTTCTCTGACATCTGACTCTGAAGAAAGTGCAGCATTTGGACAAATTCCCTCACTAGTTTCAATCTGTCAAGTGCTGGATGGTTTTCAAAGGAAAAAAGTACCTATTGCTGCTGATAAAAGTATGTGGAAATTGGAGCTTTGATGCCCCCAGTCATCTGACTACCTGAGGATGTTTTACAAGAGGTTCACACAAAGCAACAAATGTACCAAATTTTAGGTTGGTGGAGGTTTTTTTGTTTCTTTGGTTGGGTTTTTTTGGGTTTTTTTGGTTGTTTTTTGGGAGGGGGGTGAGGAGAAGCTAAAAGATTTTACAAATCATCCCTCAAATAAAAATAGCTACCTATCACTACATAATTGTAGAAACAGATGTTTCAGTCACTAGTGGCGACTGCACTCTCTATGCATGCTGGACTTTCAAATGCAGGGGTTCTGGACTGTACCCAGGAAGCGTATTTGTTTGTGGCATTTCTATGACATAAGAACCCTGAGCTAGAAAGGGAAAGTCCTTTAGCTACATAGTGCATATACTGAGTAAACAAAGACAAAATATTAATGGAAGTCTGGAACAGGTGGGCAAGTTGGTAATTCAGACAGATGAAATGTTTGCAGCAGGGAAAGAAAAAGATAACATGGGCACAGATGAACAATCTACTACAGGCATGGATGTGATTTATGAGGATAAGGGGTATTTTTCTAATTGACTACATTACCTAATACAGAATGTCATTAATGGCACTTTTAATACTTTGGAAAGTCCTATCAGGTTATTCCAGTTCAGAGCAATTACTTTTTTTAAAACTGTGAGTACAATTTGTAGATGACTGCCTCGTAAAGGCAAAATGTGTTCTGTCGATACTAACAGCTACTTATTTTAAAATTTGTGGAGATACAAAACAAAAGCACATAGGTTCTTTATTAAATCAGAAACTCATCAGGATGCCAACTGCCAAATCATGTGCAAGACTGAAAGTTGCTCATCCACTAAAAGTCTCACCATAAATTAAAACATTTTAATACAAAAAAAAACAACCAAAGAAAAAACTGCAGAAGACTGTCATGTACTTAAGATTCCTACACAAACACTGTCCTAGCTCCTTTCCAACAAACCATCCAGCAAATTCCTTATATGACCAACCGATCTCAGCACATTTGACTTTGTCATCATCACCTTAAAGCGGCCAGCATAGAGGCTAGCTGCTTTTTTTTTTTCCCTTCTTCCTCACATGTTCTCCTACACATAACGCCACATTCCATCCACTAGTTTAAGAGCATTGATTCTATTACCCCTCCAACTTATTATTAAAAAAAGCAACAGCCCACATCAAGCCAACTGAATTCTGTTGCAGACAGCAACAAAAGAAAAATTTGCCTCTACCTATGATTCATAGTAACATTCCCTGGACACAGGAAATAACATGGCCCAGGAAGTCATTACACTGTTAATGCAACTATTCAAAACCACTCCTTACCTGGATGAAGACGACACTGGCAGCATCAGATCACTTCTCCGTTTGGATCTAAGCTTGTCTGAGGGTGCCCCCAAACCACCTCTTCCTTTACCAGTATGTCATCACCTTCTTCCCCTACAGCTATATGCACAAAATACATTGGCCACTTACCCTGTAGACCTCCTCAAGCAATAGCTTAGCACAATTCTGGCCAAGTTCCTCGGGGAGCACAGCTGCTCCCTGGCCCTGAGGGTTTGAGGCTAGCTCAGCACTGAGAATAGTGCCATTGATGGTTTCTGCAGTAAGGCACATACCAAAACCTGGTGATCTGAAAGAAAGGGGAAAAGTGCATTTGATTTAAGGACAAAAAATTGAGTGATGAGCCAAGAATTACTCCCAGCCAACCTCCTCCTCAAGTCACAAACAGCTCCTCTCATAGGACAATACTGGGATCTGGACTTGCTGACAAATTTCCTGTTCTACACAATTCACCCTGGAAAAAAACATTAATAACAGTATTTCAAAATTAAAATTAAAAGTTAAACCCCGTACCACTTGCATAAAATCCACTGTGATGCTATTCCTGGCACAAACTCTTTAAATAGGAAAAAAAGAAAGGAAAAAACCCCAAAATATAAGCAATCCAAAGCTCAGAAATACCCTCCTCTATTAGAAAAAAAAAAAAAAAAAAGGATCTTTCCCATTTATTTAATTCATGTTTGATGAACATTTCAAAGGCATGTGGAGTTTCTTCTCTGCAACATTCAAAAACAAAATTAACTTTCTTCAGGGACTGAGCTCTTTCTCTGGAAGCTTCAATATTTAGCAAGATTAGACCATAGCCATGACACCAAACAGGAGAACTAAAAAACAGTTTGATCCACATTATTTGTATTTCCATCAGCTTCTCTTCACTTTCAGTTCAACACCATCCAAATCATTACAACTGTGCAAGAATTCTGAACATATAATTTAAAGAAACAAACTGCCCCTATTCTCCTTAGAGCTTAGGATCCTACAAAATGTTGTTGTGAGAGTCAAGAAACAGTTTTGCTACAATAAAGTCACAGATGGCCAAGTACAGCTTGCTGAGAAATCAGCTGTTGAGAAGGGAAAACAGGTCACAAGATCCTCTTTATTTATAGGCTCTGGAAGAGCACCAATAGCTAGCCATTCAAAATAAGGTTAATTTAACTTTACTCCATGCCACCTCCTAAGCCAGGGATTGTGGGTTCAAGTCCCATCTGGATGGGATGGAATACTTTGTTGGTCAATTTTTGGTCACCTGTCCTGTCCACTTCTTCCTGCGGCTGCGACACTTTCATGCCTTTTCGCTTGTGGACCATAAAAGAGCCAGGAGTGACCTTATCCCACAGGGATAAGTACAAACATGGGCCTTTCTGCATTGATCTTACTGTTACTTTGGTAACAACTATCAAGTGTTATCAATTCTAAAAGCAGACACTGTCTGAAAAACCTGTAGTCAACTTCAGAAAGTGCAGTTACTTAGAAGAAACTTAACTGAAGGAAAATCTACTGAAAAGAGAATTGGTTCTGTTTTAGTCAAAATCAGGACACTCCACATACCGGAATTCCCACAGTTCTGCACTCCTGGCACCTCCACCACCCAAACTTTTTAATTAAAATAGTCCCACTGACCCAAAACTGTAAGGAATGTCACCAATACACCACAAGAACAAGCCCCAAACACCAACACACATAAATTCTACCAGTTCCTGAAAAACAACAGTTCCTCCAGAGGCATTTCAGTAGTGCAGGAACAGAAAGGTATCAGTGGTTCCCACCCATATTTAGCTGCCTGCACATGGTGAGCAACACAGAAGGTATGTTAAAGACATTTCTCTTCTCCTTTCCTTCCCCTGAAAGAGACAGAGATCTAGATGGCAAGACAAGAACAGTGTCAAAGATGTTATTTTTTGGACAAGTATCCTTTAATAACTACACTCCCTGGCAGTTTTTTTAGTGTTCAGTAGCATGTGGTGATCTGCCTAAATAAAAATTAAAATCATCCAATGCCTCACGTACATGCAGACAGTATTAGGAAGCATCTGCGCAGGCAAACTGTTTGCTGCAAATGCTCAAAACAGATCAGGGAAGTTTTTGTTTAGAGATACATTATAGGTAGCAGAAGATGCTCAAATAATGTATTTCCTGAAGCTTTTGGCACTGTGGAAGGGATACAGTTCAACACTTTATATTCTGAAATCAGGGCTTGGTTTGGGCTCGGCACAGATGGGCTGAACTAGTCCTTGATGGTCTTATTCATCACCAGAGCCAGCACTGCAAACAACGAGGCATACTGCTTTCCTTCCTTGTCCTGCTAAGAGACACACACACGCACAAGCACTGGGAACCAGGTAATAAAACCAGCTTTGCCAAAGTGGCACAATGTTAGTATCAGGTATACAGCAATGATACTGGCACCATACTTACGCTGAATGTGACAGCACAGCAGCATCAGAAAGCCAGATGCACCAGCAAGACAGAGAGGGTTTCAGTTCCTCTTCCCATACTATTATTTATCCTTCTGCATGGGCTACCCATGTAAGTAGTAAATGTAATGCTGCTGCCCTAATTCATTTGACTTTTTTACTTTATAGGCAGATAAAAAACAAAATAGGATCCCAAAAATACAGAGCTCCCAGAAAAGTTTTTGCAATTCTGATCACTGTTAACAGTCTGGAGCCAGAAGACTTACTAACCTGGGATATTAAATATGATGAAGGACTGGAAAAGAGGAAAAATACTTAAAAATGAGTCAACAGTTTTTAGATTTGTAAACTTGCAAACCTAACAAATTTTCCTTAAGGTAATATTTCAAAAAGCAGAAACAGTGACAGAAAATGTGCATGCTTGGATTTGAGCATACAGACAGAAGACAAACAAATTAGTTATGCAGAACTCTTTGAACCTCAATGAAAAGTGACAAGAGGACAACCAAGCTGACAGATATCAGTAAAGTTGTCTGAATCACATCCATCACTTCTTGTTCTGCTGGTAAACAAAATCTCTGGAAGTACAGTTATTTAATCTCTCAGTTTTCCAGTCGTTGCTGGTGAAGGGACACTCTTCCAGCTATTTACGTTAACAGTGAAGCAGAGGACAACCCATACAGCTCAAACACTTTCTAAAACAATTTGGTCCCATCCTTAATACTACTACTTCCATCAGAAGGCATACAGTCAAGTTTGAATGTTGGTTTTCACAACATACCATGGCACCTCTGATCTTAATCTCACTTCAAAGCAACAGGTTTAAAACTGAAGACAGCTCAAGTTGCTTATAGCGGCAGTAACGATGTATTACATTCCTTGTTTAAGAAAACACGCAACTTCTATCCCTGTACCACAAGTAAAACAAACTTATTTAGTGAATCATTCCATTTTTTCCCCTCTGAGGAATATTTATTTCAAGTCAGCAAAACAGAATACCATGGTCTAAAACTCAATAAAATTACATATCAGAATACCCTAGCAGATGAACAAATGCAGAATTACATTTCTGTCCCTGTGAATACTGGATACTCACTTTCCAGAGCTGACCCCCTTCATATGATCTGTGTAGATATAAATATCTGGGAGGAATTTATTCAGGATGCTCCTTGCAGATTCCACCATTCTGTTTGCCATCTGTGGTGACACTCTGACAGAGTATCTAGATTTCCAAGCTAAGGAATTCATTGTGGTCACAAAGGAAATTTAAACCAGAGACCGACAAAAGTGGCCAAGAGGTCCCAATCAATTATTTCAGAACATACAGTTTTGTCCTATACATCATTCATGAGCATCGGTCCACTTTCCTGTACTTAGAGAAGCACACATGCATTAGTGCTTTCTAGTCTTTTCGCTGATACACCTTGAAGTGAGGTGCACAGACTATATGCACAAGAACAGCTTGTTCTGACTAGGTAAACATCTATCTTAAAATTGCTCTTCAATAATTTTAAATTGCTGTTCTGTCATCCTGTGCTTCCTGTGATGAAGTCCTGTGTGCTCTGCTCTTTATATAGTGTTAAAAGATGGTGATAGGTGAAGTTTCTCTGAATTAGCAGCAAGAAATCCTGTCTTCCTATTTCTCTCAGAGAGAAATTGGGTAGATGAAATTAAAGACAAACGTTTTAACAAAAGAAAAAATTAGTTTCAAAAGGCTAAAAAAAAAAATAGATCTTTGCTCTCTCCAACTATTCTGCAGTGCTGTGAGTCTATCAAGTTCACTGGTTCTCTAGTCACTCGGCATCTGAAGGTAACAGTTCCAGGGAAGAAGAAATTACCACCGTTCTGCTCACCCCAATCCACCTCCTCACAGTACACAAGAGATGAACTGCCTTTTGTGCCCTTTTACTCAGATGCTGCTTCAGTGATATTCCCAATAGATGTTCAAATGTACAAAGCACATTGTGCTCCACATTCCTTTCCAACTATAATGCAGACTCCTGCTCTGCATGTTTAACCACCCATCTGCACCTACATGCACATAGCAATGCAAAGAAACACACTCAAACATCCCAGCTGGCAGAAGGGAATTTCCTTTTCTACAAATTTCTATTGCATTCTCTTATGGTAGATAAAGCAAAAGTTTTACCATCTTAAGGGCAAAACCAGTAAATAATAATCAGAAAACTGATTGTTCTGCACAGTTGGTGCACTCCATATTTTGGATGACTATAAAAGGTTGCCACAACACAAGCTCCCCAGCTGTGAGGAAGCAGATTTGTTCAGTTGAATCCTGAAGGGACAAAAATGCACATACAAAAGACCTAAGCACTTATCCTTCCAGATGTTTTGTTTTCTACTGGTTTGAAGGACCACTTAATGGCTAAACTAAAATGAGACTGCCCCTCACTGGGCTTACTAAAGGCAAACCTTTATCCCTGAGAAAAAGCCCAGGAAAACCAAACCAAAATGGAAGTTCAAAAACCTGTAGCTCACATACATCGATCAAATCCAAAGTGGCCCAGAATGGTGCTATGTATTAATGTCAACTTAGAAAAATGACACTGAAGTCAGGATTAGTGTTTCCTCCTTCACACAGAAACAGAGTATAGACCTACCTACTTCAGAGGTGCATGGGGGCATAAGGAAACTACTTTCTTCATGGAAAGACCATGACAAACATCACCAAAAGCACGATGAGCTGCCTCCTTTTTATTCCACAGCATAGGCACCCAGTAAAATTGCTCTCACTTGGCAATGCTGCACTCATTCAAATGCGGCAGCTGGAAACAGAGGTCAAAGTGTCCTGTTCGCACACACAATTATGGTGGTGTGCCACAAAGTAAAAGGAGGAACAGGCTGCAAGTCTGCAACTCTGGCAGGAAACCTGCCACCTGCACCTATTCCTGCTTTCCTCTTGCGTAATCAAAGCCAGATCACGTTTGGGACTCTAGTAATCACAATTAAACTACAAGTTGGCGAATGCTCAAGAGAGAGCAGGAACTCATGAAACACAACCTTCAGTGTACCTTGCCTGTAAGGGATTTCTGCCTTCTTCCTATGGTGAAGCAGATTCATGACAGATACCATGTAAAAACCAAGACAAAAATAAACGAAAAAAAACCCCTTCAAACATTAACTAGATGTGCAGTTCTGTCTGCAAAAGTGAGTACCCCACAACAGTATTTTGTGCCCTTATCTTTGTGCTGAAGTAAAACCTCCTCTGCTTCCATCTCCAATGGTACTACTGAAGGTGAAGAGTTAACAAGCTTCATAACCCAAAGCGGTCAGCTCACATGTGTGCAGTGAGGTGTAAACTGAACTAAGATTTAAGCTCCCATATAACATTCCGCTAGACTCATTAACAGCCTAGATGTCACCTATTCAATGCACACAAGGTAAGACTCCTTTTAGTGCTGCTACATTATGTGATAGAAGGTATTTTAACTTCTGCTTGCTATTGAAAAGATTTTACGGTAGTGCTGTTCAGTTTTAAATTTATTTACTAGTGTACTGATGCTTTTTGAACAGCAATGTTGTGAACACAGCAGTTTTGAGACACGGTCCTGAAATCTAGTTGTGTGATCCCTCTGTAATGCCATCCTGTGTTACCTGGATACATGCTTAGCAACACGGGTGCACTTCTGCACTTCAAGTTGGAAGACTTATTTTTTTAAGGCAAACTTATTTAAAAGCAGAAAAACAAACAAACAAACAAGGATACGCAGTTCCTCTGATGCGCTTGATTTTGCCAGGGTCTGTGAACTGAACAGGCTGCAAGACCTTTCTCACTGGGCAAGCAAATAGTATCTCTCCACCCCCTTTGGGAGGCATCCCTCTCCGATTGATCTAGAAACAATAATGGAGGAAAAAAGGTTAGTAAAGAGCAGAAAGAATGTACTTGCACATTCAAAAAATGATAGCTTTTATTTCACACATAATAAAATGTCATCAGTAGAGGTATTACATGAACATAGGAAAGAAAAATACAACCTAAAGGCAGAAATTGATTTTGCACCAAACCTATAAGCAAAAACTGATTTCTTTTTTCCTCCTCTCTCTCAAATACAGCAGGGCATGCATGGCTTCTCAAAGGAAAACAAAACCAAACCAACCAAACACAAAATCATCACTTTTACAAGGAAGGCAACCGTGGCTGAAGACTGGTCTCTAATAGCAAATCTGTACCTCACTGCTGAAGAACGTCTAAAAGTGTTCGAAGCCTAGTATGCATGTGGGGGACCAGAAGCAACTCAGTCCCACAAACAGGTCTGGCCAGCCTGTCAGTCAGTGTCCACAAGGATGGGGATGGGACATGGGCCCATGGGTGGGTCTGGCTCAGGGGCCCATGGTTGGCCAGGGGAGGGCTGTAGGGAGCTGGAGACTGGCCATGCTGCAGGGTCACAGGAGCAGGGGCTGACAGACCGAGGGCAATGACATGGCGTCCTGGGCCATGAGCAGGGTGGGGGGAGGCATCCAGATGGGAGGCTTGGCAGAGCAAGCAAAGACTAGTAGTGCAGTCATTTTAAATGAGCGTTCTTAACATTTGAAAGGTTAGTTTCTTTCTCTAACCAAAAAAATATAATCTATTTTACATCTAGACTTACTGCGCCTGTGAAGAGTGTAGTCTTTAAAGAAAAGTTTATTTCCTGTATTTTCCAAACTGGAAGCAAACCTCAATCACCCAAACACAGATCCAGCTCCTCTACCAATGACGGAGGCAAAAAATTCTACTGTTACTCTCTAGCCCTAAGCATGGGGCAGGAAGAGCAAGCGGAAGGAAAAAGAAATTAAATGAACTGAAGAGGAGCAAGAAAGTAAAAAGGTTTCTTAGCTTGCAAAGATCTTGGAGACTAAGAAAAGTCACTACTTTCTCCTTACCCTCTCTACCCACAGCTTTTGCATTTCTCTTCTACTACATCTTCAATCACTGTGTGGCTGGTATGCCATTTAAAACATGCCAAGAACAAGAGGCAATTTTAGAAATGTGTGTAGCTACAACTAGATATCTGCTAGATACAGATATCGGCACCACGCATATGGCCCTGTGGAGCAGTGCAAAAGTATCATTTCAACATGTGCTAGAAAAGAAAGGAACAAATTGCCTTACCTTGATTTCCAGACTTTCACCATCAATTCCAAACTTCTTCAGCAGGGGTAGAGCTGTTGCCTTAAGGGCATCAACCTATAGAACATAGAATTTAAAAAGCAGACTATTTATTGGAAGTTATGTAAGTCAGTAATTTAAAAACTCATTGCATTATGAGGTGCTTAACAAAGATAAGGCTTCTCCTACTAGGTATTCTATAGGAAGACATGGGAATGCAGCACAGAGAGCTTCAGCTACTCTTAAACGACCATAGTATCTCATTACTCAAAAAATTTGCTAGAACAAGTTACTGGCAGATGGAATTTCCTATTCTAGATTCTTCCTCAGCCTGATTTTTACTTCTATTATGGTTCAGCTAGAACAGCTCATTTGTTTCTCTCAACACAGTTACTGAAAAAATTATATTCTTCTGTCACTGAAAAAAAAGAAAAAGTCCTACAGCTAAATAAATGATGATTGCAAGAACCTTTGCATTTTGGAGCAGGCCCTTGATTTGGCATGAAGAACCTCAACCTTCTGTCAAAAACTTCTTTTCATCTGTTTCTGAGAAACAGAAGCTTCTAGGTAACTTCTGTTGAAATACTCAGAAGAATCTGAAGTGGGTGACACATCATCCATGTACTCCCTTTGAGCCAGATGCTCACCAGATACAGGTCTGAGCAGAATTTTCCTTGCCATTGCTCCTCCTAATTGCTGATCTAAGACAACAGCAACTGTTGTCTTCTTCCCTCTGCTGAAACTTCAGTAGCAATGCTGAAGGTAACAAAAATGATTTAGCAGTGCAACAGCACAGGGAGTTACCCAAGGCAAGCAGCTTGGGAAAGACAGGAACAGGACAGCATGAGCAAAGAGGAACTAAATTCAGGTGAAAGAAACAGACATGCAGTAGACAGCAGTTGAGGAGGCATGGAAAAAAAAAGCACTCTCCTTCCCACACCTTCAGCCAGAATCCACAATTCTTCAGTTTCGTCCTCTGTGCTTTGCAGAGAGTGCAAGCCACTGACGAAGCACATATCTCACCTATGAAGCTGTGAACAACCCGTTAGAGCTACCTGAGTAATTATGAGCATATGCTGCCGTTGTCATTCTTCAAATCCTGCTGGCCAACATTCCTCCTTTCTTACAGAGAGGTATTTGGTGTTTTTAATGGTAGTATCAATATTTGAATGTCTTCATTAAAAAACAAAGTAAGTCAATTATTAGTTTTTTATATTTATACAGTTTACAGCCAGGCTAGCTTAATTTGGCTACTCAGTAATATTCATTAATCACAGAAATTTCACTTTTAGAGCAAAAACCTTTACTAACATGCATGTGCGTACACATAGACATATATGAATATCACTGGCAGAAGTTCCAACAGCTGACCTGGTTCACATTAAAGTTACACAATATTTCTCCCTTTATTATGAAACAAAATATATCAGCAAAAAAAGGAAACCTCCACTGTGTAGCTTAGGAACTCCCTTTCCTTTCTTCATTTCCACTTTTGCAATTCTTTGGACTGAAGTCTGTATCTCTGGAGAAAGCATGTTACACCAGCATTAGGAAGTTGCATCAATTCTGAAAGTTTCCAAAATTCCAATTTCCAAAAATTTCAAGACTTGTCATAGTTTTTAGTCCTCAGACAAATTCTAGGCATGACACTTAGCAGGTACCAAACAGACACGTAATAAAAGACTCTCTCTGTTCCAAAATCGCAGCCTAAATAGAGATGGTAACCAGCAGTATTTGAAGAAGTGGAAAAGGCTGTTCTGCTTAAAAGACGAGTGGGAGTTCATGCACGAGAGGTTAAGGACTTCACCGGAAATCACAAGACAGTAGCAGAACTGAGACCTAAACCCATATTTTCTAGTCTCTTGCCAAATACTCAGCCATAAAACCATCCTTCAGCTCCCCTTGAAGGGCAGGTATTCCATCTCCAGAGCAGACAACACACCATCAAGTTGTTCCAAACCAAATGCATCGTACAACTGAAGGCACAACTCACCACAAATGCCAACAACTTGCTAGGGCCCATAGACATTGCTTGTTCAAAATCTAGTGTAAATAAAAAGCTTTTCCCTTAAAAAAAAAATCTACAACAATTTAAAAAAAAAAAAAGAAAAACACTTTTAGTGGTTTGTAGAATCCCTTAGCTAGTGAAAAGCTGCAAAAAACCAGCCACAGACCCTACAGCACATGGTTACCTAGGAAAGGGGCAAGCATTAGCAGGCCTGCAGAGCCATTAGCACTGCACAGAACAGCATTTATCCCTGCCATACTTACAGTGTTATGCTTTGGGGACAAGGACCTACAAGGAGGGAGGGGAAGAGCAAAACCAGGGTTAAGCAAGTTAAAAGAAGACAGAAAAGTCAATAGGAAAAACTTCTTGTTTTCCTGGGATTACAGACAACTGCTGAATTTTGATTAACACTGAAGATTATTGTTCCCAAACCAAAACTCCATATGCTAGTCTCCTACCAGCATGAAAATCATTTCAGTTGAAAGTCCCATGGCATAGCTGTAAAAAAAACCCAAAACTTCAATACTTGCAAATCCAAACATTAAGAATGATTATTCTAAAGCCAGGATACTGCAGCACTATGTACCTGTCAGAATAATACCACACAGAGCAGGAAAGGAAAATAAGAGCTATCATTCGTGTACCACCTCCACTCCCTTCAAAAAGGCACTTTATAGAGACACCCTCCACATACATACTCTTTATACAGAGAAACTTGAAACTACCTCAGTTTGATAGACCAGTCCTACATTGCTGGTCCCACAAGCTATCCATGGTCAGGTTTCATCAGTGGTCATGCAATAAAACATAACGCAAATGTAGGCAGCCAGTGAATAGTTCAGGCTAGTGTTCCAAAGCCACGTTTCTTCCCGACAAGTGCGAGCAAGGTAGTATCCCTCTCGCTCATTTAGGATGTATCACTCACACATCATTATCACCACAGTCCAACTTACAGCAAGTGCACATTACCCTGTACTTCAGTGGCCACAGCACTCTTTTGAAATGGTGCCAGCTATCAAAGAGCTTTCCACTGCACCCCATTGGAGGGCTATTAATGTATATAAACAAATGCTAACATAAACACACACTCTATTTATACTCCAGAAATTCAGCCTGACCTTTGCCTCACTAAACTCAGCTGAAGTCTTCCACACAACAAAATGATAATCCTAGCCCAGCCCCCAGGGATGATTGCCACCACAACAGGGAACATATACACCAAGTACGATGTTAAATCAGCACAACTCTTGAGAACCAGTGCAACAACTCTCAGAGCCAATAAATCAACATTGTCACTAGCGACTATTAAACTAATAAAAAAATGCTTATTATGAATTTGTTTTAACACACTCTGGTCAAATCTATCATTATCTCAACTCTTCAAGCCCCACATTGGGCGCCCAAAAGGACTGTTGTGGTTTAACCCCAGCCAGCAATGAAACATCACACAGTCGCTTGCTCAGTCCTCCTCCCTCGCAATGGGATGGGGAGGAGAATCGGAAAAAAAAGTAAAAACTTATGGGTTGAGATAAGAACAGTTTAATAACTAAACTAAAATACTACTAATAATAAACAATAATAGTAATGAAAAGCAATTTAACAAAATAATAAAAACCCAGAAAAGACAAGTGATGCACAACACAATTGCTCAGAACCCACTGACCGATGCCCCAGCAGCAATTGGCCCCTCCCAGCCAACTCCCCCCAGTTTATACACTGACCATGACGTTCTATGGTATGGAATATCTCTCTGGCTAGTTTGGGTCAGCTGTTCTGTCCATGCTCCCTCCCAGCTTCTTGTACCCCTGCTTGCTGGCACAGCACGTGAAACTGAAAAATCCTTAACTTAGGACAAGTGCTACTTAGCAACAGCTAGAACACCAGTATGTTATCAACATTATTCTCACACTAAATCCAAAACACACTGTACCAGCTACTAAGCAGAAAATTAACTCTATCCGAGCCGAAACCAGGACACTTCCATAAGCCATCCTTTAGAAACACCCTTCCTCTCACCGTGACCACTTCCACTCTCCCCACAGCAGGAGATCTGCCATGTTCCCTTTCGTTCTCCTGACAAACCAGTCTCTGGAGAAGCACAACCTCAAACCCACAACACAGCAATCTCATCCAACAGATATTTTTGAGGTTGTGTAAAAGCTGAGAGCTCAGCGCTGAGAGCGGATTTCAGAAAGCCCAGTGGGTCAGCCTACCTGCTCACTGCCATGATGAGGGAAAGCTCCCACTTCTCTGGCTGCACACACATTGCTGCTATTTACCTTATGAATGCCTCCATGAGAAAACGCAGGGCTACAGCTCTTTGCCATTTTGCCAGTTAGCTGAACTGGTTTAGGGAAGGCTCTGAAAAGCACCTGGGGTATTGGAATATGCAGGATTGTGTGGCTGAAAGCAGGAGATATGGAGCGAGGATGGGCAGGACTACCTTCTTTCAGGTACAAAGGCAGTGCTATAGGATCCTACGTGTGTATATGTGTGTGTATGTACATACACGTTTTCACACACACATGTGAATTTGTAAATTATCTGCAGATAACAGACGTTGAATCCACTCATGCAGGGATACATCCCGCAGAGTTCATCTAGCTCCAAAATAAAGACAAATGTTTACAAAACATGATATCCCTTTTACAAATAAAAACAACAAAAATTCTCAAATTCTCAAATTAACAACCCCATGCAACGCTACAGGCTTG